GTGCTGGGAAAACTGAACAGCTACATGTAAACGAATGAAATTAGAACACTCCCTAACACCATACCCAAAAACAAACTCAAAATGGATTGGAGACCTAAATGTAAGACTTGACAGTATAAAACTCTTAGAGGAAAACAAAGGAAGAACACTCTTTGACGTAAATCACAGCAAGATCTTTTTTGATCCACCTCCTAGAGTAATGGAAATAAAAACAAAGATAAACAAATGGGACCTAATGAAACTTAAAAGCTTTTGCACAGCAAAGGAAACCATAAAGAAGACGAAAAGACAACCCTCAGAATGGGAGAAAATATTTGCAAATGAATCAGCGGACAAAGGATTAATCTCCAAAATATATAAACAGCTCATGCAGCTCGATATTAAAAAAACAAACAACCCAATCCAAACATGGGCAGAAGACCTAAATAGACATTTCTCTAACGAAGGCATACAGATGGCCATGAAGCACATGAAAAGCTGCTCAACAGCACTAATTATTAGAGAAATGCAAATCAAAAGTACAATGAGGTATCACCTTACACCAGTTAGAATGGGCTTCATCAGAAAATCTACAAACAACAAATGCTGGAGGGGGTGTGGGGTAAAGGGAACCCTCTTGCACTGTTTGTGGGAATGTAAACTGATACAGGCACTATGGGGAACAGTATGGAGGTTCCTTAAAAAACTAAAAATAGAATTACCATATGATCCAGCAATCCCACTACTGGGTGTATACCCAGAGAAAACCACAATTCAAAAAGACACATGCACCCCAATGTTCATTGCAGCGCTATTTACGATAGCCAGGTTGTGGAAGCAACCTAAATGCCCAACGACAGACGAATGGATAAAGAAGATGTGGTACATATATACAATGGAATGTTACTCTGCCATAAAATGGAACAGAATTGGGTCATTGGTAGAGACGTGGCTGGATCTAAAAACTGTCATACAGAGTGAAGTCAGAAAGAGAAAAGCAAATATTTTATATTAACGCATATATGTCGAACCTAGAAAAATGGTACAGATGAACTGGTTTTCAGGGCAGAAATTGAGACAACAGATGTAGAGAACAAACGTATGGATACGAAGGGGGGAATCCGCGAGGGGTGGTGGTGGTGGTGTGATGAATTGGGAGATTGGGATTGACATGTGTACACTGATGTGTATAAAATTGATGACTAATAAGAACCTGCTGTATAAAAAAAATGTGGGGCTTCCCTGGTGGCGCAGTGGTTGAGAGTCCGCCTGCCGATGCAGGGGACACGGGTTCGTGCCCTGGTCCGGGAATATCCCACGTGCTGCGGAGTGGCTGGGCGCGTGAGCCATGGCCTGTGCATGAGTCCAGAGCCTGTGCTCCGCAACGGGAGAGGCCACAACAGTGAGAGGCCCGCGTACCGCAAAAAAAAAAAAAAAAAAAAAAAAAATTGTGTTCTGTTAGAAAGAGGCAAGAAAAAACAAATACTGCATTATATGTTTGAAAGTCCCTAAGAGAATAGATTTAAATAGTTTCACCATACACATACATACACAAAATGGTAATTATGTGAGGTGCTGGAGCTGTTAACTAACCCTATTGTGGTAATCAGTTTGCAATATATATATGTATCAAATCATGTTGTACACCTTAAACTTACACAGTAATATATGCCAATTATATCCCAATAAAGCTGGAAAAAAATTTTTTAAAAATAAATAAAATGAGGAGAGCAGTTTTTGAAAGACTCCTATCTAATCACTGTATTTGATTATGGATGTCCCTTGAAAGAACTAATTGACCATACTTGATTGATCAAGATTTGTTTATTAGCTGTTGACAAATTCAGAAAACCACATGTAAATGATCAGGTCTCTTTTTGTGAGAATATAATACTAGGCTATACTGTTTCTCATAGTAGTCTTTATTTCATGCCTACTTTTCCTGCATTATTTATGAAGAATCCAAAACTTTATACAGAGATATTGCTGAGACATTATAACAAATAGCATTTAAAAACATGCAAGCACTGTTTTACGAAATGGAGTTTTTCTTTCTTTTGACCAAAGGACGGTTTAGTTAGAATTCTTGCTTAAACACCTTTATTTTATATAGAAATTTGCTGAATCATAATTTGAAAGAGTTACTCTCAAAATAGCCAAGTATAATTTTCCTATACTAATGACACTGTCATAAAATAATTCCTATGAAGTAGGCTGAAGTAATTTTAAGAAAAAGTTATTTAGTGAAAACTGAGGGATATTAAAGGTATGATTCAGTGTCCTACAGTTGTACCTTTATTGCCTTGATCTTGGGATGAAGCAACAGGGAGACATAGAGGAGATTGAATTTGTTTGTTTGTTGTCTTTTTATATAAGGAGAATTTTAGGTTTCAGTCAGCAAATTATTTAATAATGGAACTAAAAATTTTATGCATGTTCATTCCTTTAGCTACTTTTTTTTTTTTTTCCCGGTACGTGGTCCTCTGTTTGTGGCCTCTCCCGTTGCGGAGCATAGGCTTCGGACGCGCAGGCTTAGCAGCCATGGCTCACGGGCTCAGCTGCTCCGCGGCATGTGGGATCTTCCCAGACCGGGGCACGAACCCGTGTCCCCTGCATCAGCAGGCAGACTCTCAACCACTGCGCCACCAAGATAGCCCCCTTTAGCTACTTTTCAGTTGTAAAAGAAATCCAGGCAGAGGAAAAATTTTCACTTTGTATTTATTCTTTCACAAGGATATATTTTTATTTTTAAATTAAATGAGGCACTTATTTATTTATGATCCATCTACCTCCAGGTACGGTTAGATCCCTATTCATTAACTCAGTACTCAATACAAAATTCTAGTCAAAATGGATAACAACAGAAGAGGAGGGGAAAAAATAGAATATCTTGGTTGTGGAAAAGTAGAGATAATGAGTTCATAAATTCATTCTGATCTTTCTAACGATCAAGACAAAAAGGGAAACAGAGTGGGTTACATAATTTCAGCAAGTGGTAGTAGCACTTAACCTGAGTCAAGAAATGGGGATAAGGAATTATGTCTCATAAATAGGCATGCTTTTTTAGATCTACATTACAGAGTTTTGTTTTTAGTTTGAGTCTTTTAAGTATCAATCTTTGTGCTGTGTGTACTTTATATGTAGAGATATATTTGATTTTAATCTTTATAATAATTTTGTAAAGTTTGCAAATTAGGGTATATCTAAGGAAATACTGTTAAATGTGCAAGATAATATAAATATTTGTCATTAAAGGATTTTGAATATGTGACTACATGTGGTAAAAATGTGATATACTTATAATCTGGCTAATGCCCTGGAAGTAGTTTTTATAAAAAGCTAGGGACTTCCCTGGTGGTCCAGTGGTTAAGAATCTGCCTTTCAATGCAGAGGACTTGGGTTTGATCCCTGGTCAGGGAACTAAGATCCCACATGCTGGGCGGCTACTAAGCCTGCAGGCTGCAACTACGGAGCCTGTGTGCTCTGGATCCCGTGCACTGCAACTAGAGAGAAGCCTGCACACCGCAATGAAAGATCTTGCGTGCCACAACTAAGACCTGACGCAGCCAAAATAAATAAGTAAATAAAAAATCTTTTTTTTAAAAAAGGCTATACTACATTTTCTGGCCATTTATATGATATTAGTAAATACCTTCTAGAAGACTGCCTGAAGTTCTAAATTGTGGAAATGTGGAAGTCACGTTTATTTTTTTGAGTAATTACTGTCTCTCTCCAAGCAGACTATAAGATGCTTGACGGGTAGAACTCTATATTATCTGTTTGTGAATCCCCTATTTATTTAGCTCAATACATTGAAGGTGCTTTCTGTTGTAATAAATATGGCAGGTCTGTGTTTCTAAATAGACTTGGGCACGCAGTTGTTGGTGCTTTCATTTCTTCTCCAGGGTTTTGTCCTTAGTTTTGTAGTTTCAGAAACATTATTTTAATAAATCATTTCCAGTGCTAAGGTGCTAATGAATTAAGCCATACTAAATAAGATACACAGCAAAATCAAGAAATAAATCAGAAGCCCATGAGGAATATAGTGGCAAAGTGTGTTAGATTGTTATTCTGGCAAGTCAAACACAGTAGGAAAGTCTGCTTTAAGAAACCAAAGATCAGCTGTTGCTTTTGATAACCATTTACTTCTTTGGTATTCTCAGCAGTGTTGGTAAATGTTTGTTAGCTGATAAATTATGTGGCAAATGTTCTACTGAGATTAGTTAAATCAGATTATGTACATGGAGAAAGACTGACTGGCATTGAAAATACATTGGGTTGACCTTCGGTATGAGGGATTGTTGAGCATTTCTTCTATTATATTGATATTTTTAATGATGGAAAATCATTTTCTTTTTGAGCACTAATAGCCTTAATTTTTAAAAACAGGTTTATTAAGGTATAATTTACATAGCATGAAATTCACGCATTTTTAGTGAACAATTTTTTTTTTGTACATTTACAAAGCTGTGCAAACATTGCCACAATCTAATTTTGGAACATTTCTATCTCCCCAGATAGAAACCATGTACTATCCACTTGTAGTCTCTCCTCATCCTTAGTTTAACATGCCTAATGTTATGTTTAACATTTTACAACTGAGTATAAAATATGGTAGAAGTGAGTACTGTAGAATTTCCAAAAATTATTCAGCCCTCTAGGTTTGTTAATTTGTTTTGAATTTTTAATAATTTAGAGCTAGGACATTTTTGTGATGATATTTCTTTATTCAGACACCAATATTATTTAATAGGAGAAAGAGTGGTGAGAATAATTTATGTAAGAGGGTATTCCTTTTGGGAAATGAGTTTTTAAGTTTGCTTCTTGTTTGGAAGTTACAAATTAATTAATGAAAAGAAAGAAGTTATTGAATAAATACAAAATTGCACATTTATTCAAGCCTTGTTAGGGATTTAGTAGGGAAATTTACAGTGCCTTTCAAAAAGGCTCTAAGATTTTATATAATAATGTTTTGCAAAGATTATCATAAAGTGAATTTGTCTTTTTTTCCTTTATTTTAGCTTCTCAGAATCAAGAACGTCTTTGTGCATTTAAAGATCCATATCAACAAGACCTTGGGATAGGTGAGAGTCGAATCTCTCATGAAAACGGAACAATATTATGCTCAAAAGGTAGCACCTGCTATGGCCTTTGGGAGAAATCAAAAGGGGACATAAATCTGGTAAAACAAGGCAAGTAATACTTTTTTTACCTGAAATAACTCTTTCATACAATTGAAGTTTATCTAAGAAGGGCATGGAAGTAGATTGTAAAACCCTCTGCAGGAGAACAGTAAGTTTAAAAGTGTGTATTCATGTCTGTATTCACACACAAGCTCCACATTTGCAAAGGGTAATTGTTTTTAGCTTATTTTAATAATACCTTATTACAATTTTAATAATATAATGCCATTTTATGAAGTTTAGAAAATAAAGAAAACTATAAGAGAAACAAATGTCTACAATTCCATACTTTAAAAAGTTTTTTTTAAAAACTATATTGGTTTATTCCCTTCAGGCGTGTTTTCTTTGTACTTCTATGTTTATATGTGTGTGTACTATTTTTTTTCAAAATTATGGTAATACTATATAAATAATTTCATATACAGTTTTTCCCATTTAAATTATATCATGAATATTTTCCTATGTCTTTAAATATACTTTGAAAACACTTTCAAAATCTATACAATTTTTCATTGTATACATGTATCTCAGTTTACTTACACATTACTCTGCTGTTGGACATTATATTGTTTTCTGGTTTTCATTGTAATACCTAATGCTTCAGTGAACATCTTTGAACATAATTCTTTGATTGTATCTCATAATTTTCCTGGAATAGACTTCTGGAAGTAAAATTTTTAGATTATAAAACATGAAAAGGCTCTTCGTAAAAATTGCCATGTGACTTTCTAGAAATGTTATATACATTTACATTCCCTCCAGCACTGTGTGTTACTAAATCCTTGTTATTGTTATATATAATTATTTTAAAACCCAGAAGAATTCAATAGATATAGACAAAAATGTAATCTTATTGATGTTTTAATAATAATTCTTAGATTAACTGTGAAGTGAAACATTTTATTAGTGGCTTTTTCCTTCTATGAAATGCTTGTTTATACTTTGCCATTATCTGTTATTAAAAAAATGTGGTTTCCTATTGGTTTGCAAGAGTTATAACTTATTTACATTATGACATATATAAACCTAACTTGTTTACATTAACATCAATTTGTAGGATGTTGGTCTCACATTGGAGATCCCCAGGAGTGTCACTACGAAGAATGTGTAGTAACTACCACTCCACCCTCAATTCAGAATGGAACATACCGTTTCTGCTGTTGTAGCACAGACTTGTGTAATGTCAACTTTACTGAGAATTTTCCACTTCCAGACACAACACCACTCAGTAAGTAGTTAAAGTTACGTACGTTTCCTTGTAATTCCTTTCTCCAAAGATTTTCAGAATTTAAAAATATATGAAAATATTCAGGTTGGGCCAGAGTGAGAGGGAGAGTTCCAGCGTCATGAGACTACATCTAGCTAACACCTAAAATCGAGAAGAGATACACCAGGATTTCCAAGGTATTGGTATATTATCAAATAAGTTTGAATCAAAATATAGTACTTTCCAACTCACATGAAGAGGAGTTTGGTAATATTAAGAACACAACATATGTCCTTACTCTTTCACCCAGCACTCCCATTTGTAGGAGTTTATCTTTGAAGACATACCTCCGAAAGTATGAAAATACATATGCATAAAGTTACCTATTGTAGTATTGTCTGTAACTGTATAGTATTGGAAACTACCTAAATGCCTAAGAATAGGAGATTGATTCAAATCCACTATGGTACATACATGTGTAATGGAGTACCAAATATACAGCTATAAGAAAAAAATTGGTAAGATCTCTGTGAACTGATATGGAGTGATTTCTAGAGGTAACATTAGGTGAATAAAAAGCTTATATAGTATGCTGTCTTTTGTGTAAAATAGAAAGCTTATCTTTACAAAAAGAAGCAAAGAAAGGATAAACCAGAAAATAATGAAGTTGGTTACTTACAAGGGTTGGAGGGAATGGAACAGAAAGGATACAAGAAGGAGGAAAAGTCCTCTGAATATAGCTTTATGCATGTAGTTTTGACTTTTGGAATTATGTTACTAATCTGTGTGTGCAAAAAGTATAATTAAATCATTAAGGACGGGAAGGGGGCAAAATCCCAAACTGAAAGCAAATGAGCCTAGTTGTATTTTACATAAACATCATAATCACACTTAAGGGAAAAAGAAAGAACTAATCTAAGCATTTTACAAAAACAGTATTTGACTGTATATACTCTTTTAGGCAATATATAAGAGATTGGGGGGAGAATTGCAAACAAATAACTGAACTCTTTTTAGAAGGTTTGATTTTTAGTAGTGTGTACAAAGCAATTCTGAAACAATTGTAGATATATTTGTATTATAGGATTAAGAAAATGAGTATTAGTGTTGATATTCTTGGGAACCAGTGTTCTCACTGAAGGAATAAGGAAACAGTTACAGATGGGGGAAGAAAAGAGAATCCTATGTGAATAGATTGTAGTTCAAGGTATTATTATGGACTTATGACTTAAAAAATATCCATATGTATGTGTTACATGCATGTATATGCAGCCATGTATATATGTATTTGTATGAGTATGTATTTATATGTGTGTGTGTATACATACATGCCTACATATATTTCTTATCTCTGTTGAAAAAAATAAGAAGCAAAAGCACCCCTATAGCTATGAGTGTACATAATGCCCAGGTTTAGTTTCTACTACGACTCCACAGTCAGTGGAACTTGGGGTCCTTGGAAAAATGACTTATTCTAGAACTGGAGCAGGATAGGTGCAAGATAAACGTGCAACATCTTATAACACTAGAAGATAAGGAAAGAAGTACCCCCCAAAAGGATGGAGACTTGTCACAGTAGCCAGTTTGAAGGAACCTCCCACGAGCTACATTTAAGATCATTTTAGTGATCTTAAGATCATTTAAGATCATTTAGTAATAAGTTATAAATCATTGGAGGGAAAATGAATTGAGTCTATGCTGATAGCAGAGAAGGGAGAAGAGAGGGCACTTGTGTATAGTAGAATGCCAAGTGCCAAGTTGTAACTGTAGGTGTTGGAAAATTATCATTATGCAGCCATCATGGCAAGGATTGGATCAGGCAAGAATCATCCTAAGATCCTAAATCTAGGGGGCAGGTTCAATAAGGACTGAGGATATTTGCATTCTTTTAGAGTTTGTCCAACATATTGCGAGGGAAAAATTAGTAATTATAAAGTGAGGAAATCAGACAATAGCTTAACCAGGTAATATCATTAATGAAGGGCAGATGGACGTCCGTGATACTCTGAGGACACAGTGTAACTAATTTAGTACTGTATTTCAATCAAGAATGAATCTAATCACAAAGGAACATCAGGCAAATCATAAATTAAGAATGTTCTGTTACAAAAAGGGAGTTTGTTTTCCTCAAAAATGTCAATATCATATAAGAAAAAGAGACTGTGAGAAAGATTCTATATTAAAGGAGGCTAAGAAAGTTGACAACTAAGCGATACCTAACTCTCCTATACTGGATGTGCAAAATGTGATAAAGGATGTTGTTAATCCAATTGACAAAATAGATAATTAAAGATTTTTTTCAATGTTAAATTTACTGAAGCTGATAAGAATAGTGTGGTTATATAAGAGAATATCCATATTCTTAGGAAATACTGAGAAGTGTTTAGAAGTAAAGGGCCATGATGCGTGTATCTAACCTTCCTTGAATGATGAAGCAAATGGGGTACAATGGTAAGAAAAGTGAATTTGGATAAAGGCATATGGGTATTCTTTGTACTATTGTTATTCTTGCAACTGTTATAATTATTTCCAAATAAAAAGTTTTAATTTTTTAAAATAATTTTTAAAAATTGAAATGTAGCACTTTTCAAGAATTCTTTTCTCTGTCAACAAATTTTATCAGCCCATACTCTAAGATCTTCAGTTTTGGATTATTTCCTTTGATTATTTATTTATTTATTTTATTTTTTAAAGTGTTTTTAAATTTTATTATTTTATTTTATTTTAATTAATTTATTTGCCTGTATCAGGTCTTAGTTGTGGCCCACGGAATCTTTGTTGCAGCATGTGGGATCTTTCGCTGTGGCGTGCAGGCTTCTCTAGTTGCAGCACGTGGGCTTCTCTCTAGTTGTGGCGCATAGGCTCCAGAGTATGCGGGCGCAGTAGTTGGGGTGCGCGGGCTTAGTTGTCCTGCGGCATGTGGGATCATAGTTCCCCAACCAGAGATGGAACCCACGTCCCCTGCATTGGAAGGTGGATTCTTAACCACTGGACCACCAGGGAGGTCCCTATTTCCTTTGATTTATTGATGAAACACTAAACTGAAAGCAATAAGGAGTTTTTTCATGTAGTTTCTATCTACTCAAGGCAATTAGCTTTTATTGTGAAATTATACTGAATTGGCTATATTTATTTTCCACAAAAAAACAAACAAAGCAAGGTCTCTAATTTTCACATCTAGCTAGATGAAAGAAAAGTGAATTTGTCCATAAATTCACCTCAAAGATCTTTACAACTACATTTCAGATTGTTACCTAGAACTTGGTCTACTGTAATCTCTTGAATCAAAAGCAGGGAATGATTGCCACTATAAATCAGTAATGTTATCCTGATAAAAAGGGAAAGTGTTTTAAGTGTTCTAATTTGAGAGTGTTAACCCAATTAATGTATTTTGTTCTTCAAACAAAACAATCAAGTAAATTCATTGTTAGTAAACAAAATGAATATTTACTTTTATATTAATTTCAAGAAAACTAGTGCTCCCCTGGTGGCGCAGTGGTAGAGAGTCCTACTGCCGATGCAGGGGACACGGGTTCGTGCCCCGGTCCGGGAAGATCCCACATGCCGCGGAGCGGCTGGGCCCGTGAGCCACGGCTGCTGAGCCTGCGTGTCCGGGGCCTGTGCTCCACAACGGGAGAGGCCACAGCAGTGAGAGGCCCGCGTACCAAAAAAAAAAAAAAAAAAGAAACATAACCACTACTATATAGAATGTCAGACATTTAGTCTGTAAATGCTTAGGTGCTTGACCAAAATAAAAATAGTTTTAAGTGTTGAAGTTTAAAGGAATTAATTAAAATATAAAATTAAGAAGCAGAACTTTTTGTTCCTTGACGTATATTGAATATTACATCAGTAGAAAGTTTGGTGGTAGTGATTTTTTTTCTGTAATTTTTCATTATAAAAATGCCATTTATTGACTATTTAACATACACATTGGCCAAATAAAGACATGTATTTAAAAATTACTAGAAATATGGTGCAAACTCATCAAAGGTAGAGAAGGAGGGATAGTTCAGGGTGGCTCTTTATGGGAGGTTGCCTATTATTATTATACTTTTGTATTGTTTGAATCTTTAACATAAGAATATATTTGTATATTACTTATTTAAGGAAGTATTAAAGGAATACATGCCTATTTATTCAGAAAAATAGAAAAATGAGATAAATGGAGAGGAGAATAATAATCTTTAAAAATCCCTACACCCATATACAACCATTGTTAATATTTTGAATATTTCTTTCTAGTCTTTTCTCTTTAATTTTTGTATAGTTGTATTAGTGATATAAATTTTAGATCCTGCTTTTTAAACATAATATAATATTTTCCAGGTATTACATGTTTCATAATCATCAGTTTTAATGGTTGTATAATATTTTACCAACTAGATATTTTTCTTATCCATTCCTCTGGTTTTGGACATTTAGGCTGTTTCTAGTTTTTTGCTACAATGCACATGTTTGTATATATACCATTATATTAAATTATAATTCCCAGAATTGTAATTCCTGTATCCACTAGTAACAGTATTAAAGTTCCTCATACATTGTCAAATTGCTTTTCCAATGGTTGAAACAGTTCACATTCCCATCAGTGATATACTAAAGTGCATATCTCATCATATGTTAATGAGCACTAGTATTAAAATAAAACTTTGCTCAGGTCATTTTGAAAATGGATTTACATTGTTTTTACTAATGAGGTTCACTTGTTTTTTGTTTTTTGAATATTTTTATATTCATTGTCCATTTTTAATATTATTTCTCAATAATGAAGCTGACTAGTTTTGAGAAAAATGATTGTTAAAAATCTTTGAACCTTGGCTCTTCCTAAGGAAATACCCTTAATATCTTTCAATAAAAGTTCAGTGCTCATTTTATAGTGTGTAAATTAGACCTTAATAAAGGTATTAAAATGCTTATTACTCATTCTTCTGAGAACAGTGTTCACAGAAACAGTATCTCCATCCCTCACATGATGTTTTCGTGATGGCATTAAAGCCTTCTATTTGCATAGTATTTTA